ATGCAAAAAAACACCCGACATGGAAGCACAGACAGCACGTGTACAACATCAGAGTCCAATGGGGAGGTGGGGGTGGGCGGGATCCTGAAGCCTCCAATGGGAGCTGCCACTGCGGCGCATCGACCAGCTGCAGAACAACAGGTGGGAGGGAGAGATAAGGAACAGAGAGCACATTGAGGTCCCTGCAGATATAGCCTGAAGGGAGAGGGTGAAGGTCGGGACACAGCATCTGTCGCCATTCCTCCTTTTGTGGGGGTGTGTTGAGGCAGCCTTGAGAGGCTGCTATGGCGTCAGATAAGGATAAACATGACTTTGTTTAGGGTAGACAGAGATAATCTTCCCCTCCGTCTTGTAGTCTCTAAGTGGTCATTCATGTCCACCAGTGAAGCCAATTTTACATTCCACATCCCCGCATCGTCCGGCGACCCTCTCCGAGATCAAATCCATCTTGCGCACTAACACAGGCAACGCCGCAAGGACATTGTCCAGCTTACGGTTCACCTCGAGTAACGTCCCAGTCTGTGAGGTCACCGCACGAGCGGCACATTCCGTGGGTACGGGTCGCACTCTAATCGCTCCCGTCTTCCCAAATTTCCAGAAAACCAGATATCCTCCCACTCCAATCAGAAGAAATCCAGTGATCATCAGGCCGAATATCCACAAATCTTCCACGTCCTCGATGGACAGCTGAGAGAGGCACACGATTCGCCAGACCTCCCAAGAATCGAGTGCATATCCCGATGCGAATGTCCCCTCGGGACAGGTGGGAGCCCCCTTCTCCGTTCTCATCGTAGAGAAAATTTTGTCAATCACGTTGAATGACCAATTAATTAAGTCCATATTTCCAAAAAGAGAGTATTGGTTTCAGGAGAAATGCAGAGAAGTGCTCTGTAGGCAGACAGGACAAGAGCCTTGGGGAAGCCGATAAGGGAGCTGAGAAAAAAAGCGTCTGTACTCTCTGAAGGTTGCAATCTGTCGTGCCAAGTCTACGCACCCTTTGTGTGGAGGTTCTCGTTCGATCTGGGGGGGTCGTGCTGGTCACTGCCGGTAGAGTGAACCTCTGATATCGGGAACCCGTAGATAGTTCCGTTAGGACCCCTCCAGTCTGAGATCCCTCGAGGTGAAGGCAGGAAGCTGGAATGCTTATTTGCATCTAAGGTGGATGTTTGCTTGTTGAAGTAGCTCTGAAGAGAGCTGTTTGGCTGTATCAGCTTGCAGCGTCTTAGAGAGACTTTTGACTGGAGGTCAAAGGAGATGGTTTCAACAGAGGCTTCTTTTCCGTTTTGGCCAAATCAGGAGTCAGCTGGAAACTGAATTAATCAGGAAGTAATTCTAGTTTTAATAAACCACCTGCACCTCTGGTAGTGATATCCAGCTGGCGGGGTCGGAGTTCGGTTGAACTTTTCCGGTAATCCAATATCCATTCTCATCGCCGTATCCCAGAGAAAAAATAAATCTGACTGACTAGTAGAGGTTTCAGAAGCTACATCTGATTGATGACACATTGTTCTCTGCTATAACGCTAATGCAGAAACACCGGAGACAGGCGTTGTTTACTACAGCTGTTTCAGCAGAGCGCCTTGTGAAACGTCACCAGCTGCCCAGGGCTTAGACCGGAAGTTAGTTTCCGTTTTTCCTGCGCCGGTCACAAACATCAGATTTTCTTACAATTCCAGTTGTCAAAATCCAAAAATCTTTTTCTTATAAGGTTTTAATACACATTTACACATGCTGTTCAAACAAATTTTGCATCTGGCCGATACCTTTAAATGAGTGAGTCAACCCACTACCAAGGATGAACTCTGCTAACTTTAAAAATCAGCTGCTCTAAATAGGTCAGAGAGGAGCTCTAGGATGGACATGGATAAAGGAACTGTAATGTAGAGGTAAAGTAGGGCAGGGCCAACGTTAGCCGCTGTCATACGGTCCATCTGAAATGTTTGAGTTTCAATTAGCTTGTTATGTGACAGGTTAGAGCACAGTCTCATGTTAGTTTTGTCATGAGAACATTAAGATACCTCACATACTGATGGCATCTAAAAATTAACATTTTTGTTTCAAAATAAAGAATAATTTTAATCACAGTTGAAACGTAAAATCCTAGAAAAACCTCATCCAATCAATGTGCACGTCCTGTTCTCACTGACTGGATAGAAATCCTTCCATCAAACTGTGTGTGTCCGTGTGTGCGCGTGCACCATCGACATATGAATATTGGACAATGGGTTTCCATTCACTCCAATAACAAGTTTTTGTGCTAAAATGGGAGGTGGCCACCACCGCCAATTTGACCGTGTCACAGGTTCCATCAAGCCCAGACAATTCCACAAAAGGGAAGAGAGGTGTAGCTGAGGGTGGGGCTGTAAGGTTGGGATCAACTGACGACACTCGGTCGAAGTAGCTACAAGCTAACCTGAAGCTAACCCAAAGCTAACGAGGAGGTGGGAGCTAAGCTAATGGAGGTAGCAACCTAGCTACAACCGGAGTTAACTGTGCACAACACCAGAGCTTCTGAGTCAGAGATACGCCGGGCTGACCGCTGGGTAAAACCGGGTGGAACACAGAGGTCTCAGAGACCTCCACAAGCAGGCAGCCACACAGCAGACAAGCGCCGCTGTGATCTAAGATGTGCAGAGCTGCCGCTGGGGAGAACAGGGTGGAAAGGTTTCCATCCCAGAGCTCCACAAGCCGGCAGCCCGCGCAGCAGACAGAAGCCGCGATCAGACAGAGATGCGCCGAGCTGTGGGGAGGGGAGAACGGGTGGAAAACATCGGTCTCCCGAGAGCTCCACAAGCCGATAGTAAGAACCCAGCTCCACCAACATGTTATATTTCAACCCATTTTCTAAAGTGCAGCATTATGTTAAATGCACTGGGTTTTACCCTATTACATTTAAATTTCATGGTTAAACAGTACATGTTAAAATCTAAGCTCAGCTCGGCAGTGACCTAAAATACATAAACATAATTTTACTTACCGAAAAAATGAAGTAGAGACTCCTTGGACGCTCTATTAGTGCAATTAATGCCACAGCAAGTCATTTTGTCCAACAATTGCACAAAAAATATCCAAAAAAGAACGCACAAACACAGAGACTCAAAATCCCGGAGCCGTTTCCAAGCCAGACCGAGGCTCTACTGAGGCCTTTCCACGGAGCTAGCTCTGTGGTTACGTGGGTCTGATGCTCATTAATTATACAGAATTTTAGGCTTTTAATACACTTAAACAGAAGAGTGAGAAAAAAATTCACCCCCCTCAGAGTTGTCATGAGTGTAAACTAGATCATTTAAACCAAAAACATGTTTTGGTACCAGGCTGTAAACATGTTTATTTCTGCTGTGAAATTGGTATTTTTAACATGGGAGTCAATGACGATTTGCTCGCTTCTGACACCAGCCCCTAGTGCATGAGGGTGGAACTGCAATTTTTGGTACTTCCGGGTTGGAGTCAATTTTTGAGCCGCATTGTGGGGGCTTGGCGTGCACACACACGAGTGTGTTGTGAACTGGTGTTGTGGTTTTGCACTGATGTAACCATCTTTACGCTGACAAAAATGTAACTAAGTAACTTTTACTTTGAGTACATTTTATTTACAATACTCTTTACTTTTACTTGAGTAAAATTTTAGGCAAGTACTTTTACTTGTACTTGAGTAAAAAATTATCAAAGTACTGGTACTCGTACTTAAGTAGGAAATTTTAGTACTCTTTCCACCTCTGGCATTATCCTGTTGGAAGTAGCCATCAGAGGATGGGTACATGGTGGTCATGAAGAGATGGATATGGTCAGAAACAATGCTCAGGTAGCCCGTGGCATTTAAACCATGCCCAGTTGGCACCAAGGGACCAAAAGTGTGCCAAGAAACATCCCCACACCATTACACCACCACCTGCCTGCAGAGTGGTTACAAGGCATGATGGATCCATGTTCTCATTCTGTTTACACCAAATTCTGACTCTACTATTTGAATGTCTCAACAGAAATCGAGACTCGTCGGCAACATTTTTCCAGTCTTCAACTGTCCAGTTTTGGTGAGCTGGTGCAAACTGTAGCCTCTTTCTCCTGTTTGTAGTGGAGATGAGTGGTACCCGGTGGGGTCTTCTGCTGTTGTAGCCCATCCGTCTCAAGGTTGTGCGTGTTGTGGCTTCACAAATGCTTTGCTGCATTCCTCGGTTGTAACGAGTGGTTATTTCAGTCAAAGTTGCTCTTCTATCAGCTTGAGTCTGTCGGCCCATTCTCCTCTGACCTCTAGCATCAACAAGGCATTTTCACCCACAGGACTGCCGTATACTGGATGTTTTTCCCTTTTCACACCATTCTTTGTAAACCCTAGAAATGGTTGTGGGTGAAAATCCCATTAACTGAGCAGATGGTGAAATACTGGCACCAACAACCATGCCACGCTCAGAATAGCTTAAATCACCTTTCTTTCTTATTCTGACCATCCGTTTGGAGTTCAGGAGATTATCTTGACCAGGACCACACCCCTAAATGCACTGACGCAACTGCCGTGTGATTGGTTGAAATGCACTGACGCAACTGCCGTGTGATTGGTTGATTAGATAATTGCATTAAGGTCTAAAATAAGTCAAGAAATAATAAACCTTTTTCTGTTGATTAATTCATTACTGTAAAGCAGTCAAGACATTATTAAATCACTTTAGATAAAACATGAATTGTGGATAAAACCGACCATGATTGTAAATTACTTCCAAAGTTAGGAAATTGTTTATGATACCGAATAAAACTCTAGTATTAAAGTATAAAGAGTCAAGTCTTGTGAGGAGACCTTGTGGTTCGCAGAGTCTAATGCAGGAGAGAGATTGTTACGGCTTCAACCTCCCGGTGGCAAGGTCACGAGCAGTACGTTTTCTGGTTTAGAGACCAGACAGTTAACCTGTGGCACACTGATGAAGCAGTCTGTGGAAGTATTTTAACCATTGCATTTCACGGCCTTCTCCAACACTACAATAGTGACACTGAAAAACAAAGGCCAACAGTCAGCAGCGTATCACAACACTTTATTAAGCCATATGCTGGATAATGCTGTGATGTGAAAAGCTAAGGTCTGAGAGATGGGTCCAGTGATCCTTAGGTGTTGACCTGTGGTGGTTCTGGATGGTCCAACCTTTGCCCCCCCTCTGGGCAGGGATGCAGAGACTTCAGGACATGCTCCAGCGTCCACTTCTCCTCGTATAAGACGTGCTCTTGTAGGGTGAACTGACCTTGTTTGGTCCTGATCAGCTCTTTCACATGAGCACATGATGACAAGGCTACAGTAAAGAGACATACACAGAGACTCTAGTGAAGTAAAATTACAGCTGAACTGCAACCAACAGGAGGAAAAAGAATGTGGTCTGACCTTTTCCCAGGTCATCCACCAGGCTCCGAACATAAAATCCACCACCGCACTCAATATCTGTTACACAAGAAGAATTATTTCATTTGAGGAAGAAAACAACATACAACATGCTGCACAGACAAACAGATCTGGGGGGTATTCCAGAAAGCAAGTTTAGAACATCAGGGATCTCCTGATAAATCCCTGCTTTACATAGCGTTCCACCTCCCCTTCCGGTTTCACCAGCTCCACGAATGATTCTCGGGTGGATTCAATCACCTCTAATCCAAGCGAGGCTCATTAGCCATAGGCAGCTCCTGTTAATCGATGCTAGATAAATGAGAATGGAAGTAAAGAACAGAGCCTCGTTCTTCTCGCTGGACACCTGCAGCCCTCCACGTCGCCCCAACCCCCAGACTGAAGCTGGGACCCACCAAGCATTCTGTTACCCTGGAGCTACAGTGATAGACATTGCAGGACACATCCCAGACCTCATCCAGAAGCATACAACAGTGAGTAGAATAATCGTCCACGCCGTTACCAACGATGTCCGTAAGCAGCAGTCAGAGCTCCTCAAGCGTGATTTTATTTACCTTTTAAATCTTTTAAGACCAATGCATGTGTCTGTTTTTAGCTCTGGCCCCACTCCCACCATGGGCAGAGGAATTGGCCGTTTTAGCAGACTTTCATCATTAAACACTTAGCTTTCCTCTGCCACCGTGATCCATATTGTTGGTTTTTATAGACAATTTTAACATTTTCTGGGGCAGGAGATACCTGTTTGGAGCGGATGGGCTTCACCTAAATAGACAAGTGACCCATACGCTACCAATGAGGCTGGCCTGGTTTTTAAGTGTCTTAATGGTCTTGAGCCTTCTTATCTCTTGCTTTTACCATATGAACCCTCACAAACTCTGCGCTCCTCTGGCAGGCATCTCCTGCTTATCCCTAAAGTCAGGACACATACTCACGGGGAGGTGTCCTTCCAGTATTCCAGCCCTTGCCTATGGAACGAGCTGCCGGAGAACCTCAGAGAACATTCATGTGTTTAACACCAGGCTCAAGATCCATCTATTTAGAGTAGATTTTAACTATTTATTGATTATGATTTTATTTAGTCATTTGACATGATTAGATTTCAACATCGTTTCATTATTTAATGATATTATGATTTTATTATTTATTTTCTTACTTTTTATAAACTCCTCAGTGGCAAGGCCCCAGGGGTGGATGAGATCTGCCCGGAGTTCCTTAAGGCTCTGGATGTTGTTAGGCTATGTTGGTTGATGCGGCTTTGCAGTATCGCATAGTCATTGGTGGCAGCTGGGATGAGAATCAGCTCCTCTGGTCTTAAATCAGAAAAGGGTAGAATGCCTTCTACAGGTCAGGGATGAGGTCCTGCCTCAACTGGAGGAGTTTAAGTATCTCAGGGTCTTGTTCACGAGTGAGGGCTAAATGGAGCGTGAGATCGATAGGTGGATTGGTGCTGTGTCTGCAGTGATGAGGGCACTGTCGTGGTGAAGAGAGAGCTGAACAAAAGCTCTTGATTTACCGGTCGATTTATGTTCCTACCCTCACCGATGACCACAAGTTTTAGGTAGTAACCGAAAGAACAAGACCGTGGATACAAGCGGCCGAAATGAGTTTTCTCTGCAGGGTGGCTGGGATCTACCTTAGAGATATGGTCAGAAGCTCTGGAAGGGGCTCGGAGTAGACCCGCTGCTCCTCCATGTCGAGCGGAGCCAGTCGATGTGGCTCAGGCATCTGGTCAGGATGCCTCCTAGACGCCTCTCTTGTCAGGTTACACCAGGAATCTCAAAAGGAAGCCTAGTTTTGGGAAAATTTCGCTTTCTGGAATACCCCCCAGCATCGCATTTTGAAGCCTTGACTAACCCAAGGTGAAGAGTGGTGGTTTGAACTCCTGCAGAGTCAGGCTGTAAACCGTGACAGGCCGCGCAGGTTTGGCCACAACATTGTGACCTTTCTTCAACAAGACAGATAGACGCTGACCATCCCTCTTCAGAGCAGAGTACCTATGAGCAAACAATTAACAGACTGTTCTAAACAAAGACACAAATATTCAAACAATTGAGATGCTGCAGGGAAATGTTTTTAAAATATATTTTAAATGCCCCAGTGTCACATGACCATTACACTGATGTTTCTGCTTCAGCAGAGTTATTTACAAGAGTAAATATCAAGTGCAGCAGGTAAACAGCCCTTCTCGTGTTTCCAGTGTTAATTCCAGCAAGAATTATCCACTTTAAAGTGAAAAAAAAATCTCTTTAAAGCACATCTGCAAATAGAAGAGGCGTGAAAAAGGGGACAACTAAAATCACCACCACCCATCCCCCGGAACAAGGTCTTTGAATGCTACAGGTGAGTGTTCGTTGACAAAATATTTTTTTGCAGACCAAAACGAAACTAAAATAAAAAAAATCCATGTCTTACTAGAAAATAGAAGAACCAATCAGAGTCCGAAGAAGTCCGCTGTTTGAACAAACTGCCGGTAACCACAGACACCAATTATTGATGTCTATGCCAATAACAGTTAAACAATGTTTGTCTAAAAGGAGAAAATGTCCATCGCAGGGAGGAAAAGCATTGAATGTGACAATTTGTGTACATATTGGGGTTTCCCCTGGTTAGAAAAGCATTTCGGTGGTGGCAGCAAGCGTTGTTATTGGCAATAGAGGTCAGGAGTAGATTGCTGGGTCAGCCGAACTGAACCAAACTCGCGTAGCCACACATCTGGTAGTTCAATTGTTTTTCTTTTTGTGGCGCTGATACAGCTGATCAGCCAGCGTTCTGTGGTCTAGTCGTGTTTTTGTGAGGAAAATAAAATTCAGACGGCTTACTTTTGTACAATTGTGCAGGGAAAACTAATAAATGCACATGAAAACAATTTTGACCTTTAGTTTACCTCCTTGCATTTTTAGAGAAACACATTTTAATATTTTGAGGTTATGATGTCATTTCCTGTCACATTTACAATATTACTGCACATTATACAGACTTATTTACTTTATTAATACTGAGAGGCACAATTTCAACCTGAGTGTTTTTTTCATAAGTGTGAATTGAGAATTTTTTAAATAGCTTTACAGTTTCATGTAGGTGTTGTTTACATTTCCATTACAGAAATGCAGCTTTTTCTCACCTGTTAGCTGGAATAATTTAGGAACCACTACTCAGAGAAAAATATTGTACCAACTCGGCTTTAGTGCTGCAGTAATGTTAAAATTGTACCGTTTCGTAAATGGTCACAATTATGTAACTGTCAATAAAATATGAAATGTATCCAACAATGTATAATGTTCAATCAAACTTCACATGGCCCAAGGACCAAACAAAGCGCTGCACAGCAGAAATAAACATAAAAAAAACAAAAACATATAAAACCATTAAAAAACCAACAAAAACATGCAGATAAAATCTAGGTGGGGCAGCAAAATGTGCAAAGCCATCAGTTAACGGGACTCTTCCTGAATAAAAGCTAAAGAATAAAAGTGAGTTTTCAGCTGGCTCTTATACTTGCCGAGCGTGGTGGCCTGTTTAACCCATGTAGGTAGCTCATTCCAGAGTCTCGGCCCCAGCACCGAGAAAGCACGACCCCCTCGAGATTGTAGTCTGTGTTTAGGAACGACCAACAGTCCTTTTTGTGCTGACCGAAGGTTCCTTGTGGGAATATAAGGATGGATCAGATCTGCCAGATAACGTGGAGCCAACTCATTTAAACATTTAAAAACAAACTCTTCTAAAAGAGACTGGAAGCCAGTGTAGGGATGCCAAGACAGGCGTGATATGTTCAGATCTCCTGGTACCAGTCAGTAACCTGGCTGCCGCAGTTTGGACCTGCTGTAGTTTCGCTATGGAGGCCTGCTTGATGCCTGCATAAAGCGAGTTACAGTAGTCCAGTCTGGTGGTAATGAAGGCGTGGATGACAGTTTCCAGATGTTTACGTGATAGCAGCGGCTTAATCCTAGCTATTCTCCTGAGATGGAAATAGCAGGATCTGATTGTTCCATTGACCTGGGTGTCCAGTGAGAGCTCAACATCCAACTTCACCCCCAGGTTGGTGACCACAGCCTTCTCAAAAGGCGCTAATGAAGGAGAGCCAATCCATTGGGCACATCCATGTTTGTATTTCGGGCAGAACAGGATAGTCTCGGTTTTATTCTGGTTGAAGAACAATACATTTTGAGCCATCCATAGCTTGACCTCCTCCAAGCAGTCCAAGAGCGGTTTAAAAGAGCTTGAGTTGTTGCATGATACAGGTAAATAGATTTGACAGTCATCCGCATACAGGTGAAACTTGACGTTGTGCCGACGAAACAAGTCACCCAGCGGCAGCCGATAGAGGGAAAAGAGAAGAGGTGCCAGTACTGATCCCTGAGGCACTCCACATTGCAAATCAGCAGTATCCGATGAACAGTCCCCCCAGTCTTACATAAAAATTCCTCCCTGACAGGTAAGATTTTATCCACTGGAGTGCTAAGCCTGATATTCCCACCCAGTGCTCCAGTCGACCAATCAGGATATTGTGGTCTATGGTGTCAAGTGCCGCAATCAAGTCCAAGAGCACCAAAACCACAGCCTCCCCAGAATCGTTTGCCATCATGAAATCATTCAAAACCATCAACAGGGCTGATTCTGTACTACGGAGAGACTTGAACCCAGACTGAAAAATCTCTAGCATCTCATTTTCATGTAGAAAGGATATCATTTGGGCATACACAAGTTTTTCTAAGACCTTAGCTAAGAAAGGCAGTGTGGAAACAGGCCTATAATTAGATATATTTGACGAATCTAGGCCAGCTTTCTTCAGCAGCGGGCGCACTACTGCATGTTTAAAAGAGCTGGGAACTTCACCCGATAGTAGACTGCAGTTTATACTTTCTAAAACATAAGGAGACACAGCTGGAAAAACTTCTTTTAGAAGTTTAGCAGGGATACAGAATACAGAACCAGATGGTTTCAGACTATTGACCACCTTCTCCAACTCTATAGCCCTTTTCAGACAGACATTCTGGAACATTTGCAGACAATTCAATTCGGTTTTTAACCGGAACTGTGTTTTCAGACACACCACTTTTGTACCGGAACTTGTCCTTTCGGCTGCGTTCACACAGCAGGGAAAAGTTCCAGATGTCTGATGGCGGTGGGGGGTGGGGGGAGAGAGAATCAGACTCATGTTAAGAAGAAGAAGAAAATATCATTTCTATAGCGCCTCTCAAGATAAAAATCACGAGGCGCTTAAGCATAATTCTGCGCACACGAAGACGCATAAGAGACCTGGATGATGAAGCTCAATGGTTAATCACTGAAGCGGTGTGAAGCGCTCCGCCGCGCGTCTAGACGGTACCGTAGGAGGCGAGCTGCCGTGGTTCGCCGCATGCTACAGCAGCGGGCTATATAGGTGCGCACAGCGTCCCCCGGTCCCCTCCTCCTCCCCCTCCCTCTTGTCCGGAACTTTACCTCACCAGTCTGAAGCAGCCACCCTGTCCAAAACAAGTCCGGACCTGTTACTAGGGGCTTCGTCCGGATAAATTCCGGAACACGTTATCCGGATGTTTGTATTCAGACAGAAAGGTCTTACGGACAGATTCCAGAACATTTCCGTTTTTCATGGCCTGTCTGAAGGGGGCTTAAGAGAGATGTTGGATAAAAGCTCTCTGGGAGCCCTGGGGCAAGACCCCGCAGAGGAGGGTGGTTATTGGAGGGTGTGATCGAAGCCTTCGTCCTCCCCACTTTGTCCTCAAAGAAGTTGAGGAAATTATTGCAGGATTCTGTAGTGTACTCAATAGCCAGCGGTTAATTTGCGTTTAAAATAGAATCCAAAGTGCTAAAAAGAATCAGAGGATTCTGTGAGTTGGAGGAAATAATGTCAGCAAAGAACTTGATTCTCGCCTCTTTCACAACTTTCTGGTAGGCTACCCAGCTATCTCTCAGTAGGTCCAGGGATATCTGAAGCCCATCCCGCTTCCACCTACGCTCTGCCTTCCTACATTTCCTTTTTAAGTCCTGAGTTGTCATATTTAGCCATGGCTCCTTTTTACATTTATGTTTCTTAGCCTGCACAGGTGCTACAATATCTTAGACCTTCGAGCATGTTGCGTTAAAATGTGCAGTAAGCTCATCAGTGCTACTAGGACCAGCAGTTTGCCCTTGCCCCACCAACCCAAACACTGAACAAAACTCAGTGGCCGTAGAGGACTTTAACACCCGGCAGAGTTTCACAGGAGGACACTGCATCACAGGCTGACAGGGGAAAGGCACATTAAATAAAACAGGTCTATGGTCCGAGAAAAAGGCCTCCCCAACCTGCAGATTGGAAGTAGATACCCCAAACGACAACACAAGGTCCAGGATATGCCCACATACCTGTGTAGGTTGGTCAACTAACTGAGACAGATTAAAAGAGTCAACAAGATTTAAAAAATCCTTCACCATAGGCTTATCATGACAGCAAATATGGATGTTGAAATCCCCAAGAATTAAAACCTGATCATATTTAGGAATAGTTTCACCAAGGAACTCTGTGAACTCCTCCAAGAAGTTTGCATTTGACCTTGGTGGACGGTACAGGAGTGCAACCAAGAGTCGGGACGCATGACCCAGCTTGAACAGGCAAAGCTCAAAACTAGTAGGCACAACTGGCGAATCCACTTGTTTACAAGTGAACTTCGACTTAAAAATCACTGATAGTCTCGGGACACTAAAATAGGCACAGTCATCCTGTAGTCGCTCCCCAAAAGCAGCAGATTCACCTTTGGGAACCCAATATTCCGTAACGCACAGGTAATCCAGGCCATGAGTCTCAAAGAACTCCTTCAGAATAAAAGTTATGTTCATAATAGACCTGGCATTCACCAGCGCAAACCTCCGGCGCCGAGACGTCCTTATCCTTCCCATCCGATAATGAAGACCCTGATGGCTCGTAAATCACCTCTTGTAAATTCCGCCGATCGACTCCTCTCCAAGAGCCGTACCTCGGATGAGTAGGACGTCGGGAGCGGACCAGCCGACCGCC